TTTAATATCTTTATATTTGCAAGCACAAATATTTAATATTCTTTATAAGGAAGTCAGGCCTTCAGGAACTACTCTGAAATATTCTTCTCAAGCTGGGTCTCATTGGACAGCATAAAGAAGTGGATCTGCTCTCTGCACCAAATACATGCAGATACAAACCAAATACATAGTTTTAGACCTGGGACACAGGTGATTTTTGTAGTCAAGAACTCAAGATATCAGCAAAAATTTCTCACTGTTTTCTTAGAGCCATAGGAATGGTGCAAGTTGGTAGATGAAGTTCACTGAAGTAACTGTGCTAAATGAAGAACATTTAGCTTCGTTTTGTTTCTGAAATCTCTCTTCTCTAGGGGGAAAATCCCATTGTCTCTGAGCCACCCAAAATTTAATTGCTAGTCTAGTTGTTGATTGTGTCAGGTTTCAGCTCTTAGCTGGAAAATCCCCAGCATTCCTGAATCCTAATAGGCGGGTTATGTAAACTGGGAAATGCCTCTGAAGTACAGATCTTGGATGCCGTCATTTGGTGATAGAGGTAAGCTTGCTAATTGTGCTTTCTGGGAATCATTTTTGTATGATCCCATCTCTCTGTTTTTTTCTTTTGGGTAGACTAGCAAAGCAGGTCTTGTTCTTTTTTGTTTTGTTTTGTTGTTGTTGTTGTTGTTATTCCTAGTAAAAGACTGCATTGTTGCAGGCCTATTTTGTTTTGTTTGCTTGTTTTTTTGAGGCTGAACAGACAGTGGCATCCCTCCACTGCATGTACACACAAAGACACACCAGAGGCTACAGTATGAAAGGCCACTTTGGATATACAGTAACCCAAAATAAGAAAATTCCATATGCCTCTCTTCTTGCCTGGTAATAAAAATGCACATTTCTATCCCATTTCCTGATAGCTACAATTGGCTATTCATTACAGCACATCCAAGAAGCTTTGATACTTGAAGCAAACAAGGAATAAGGTAGATTTGGTGGCCCACCAAGCCTTGTCTTTATGCAGAAGGAACTAGGTCTGGGGCTCAGAAAGACCAATTAGGAATTTTTGCTTATGTCCACATCTTCAGCCACTGGAGGCAACCACTACAGTCTGTCTAAAGTTGGAGCCCACTTTTCACATTTTGCAATTCAAGAATTAAGACCAAGTCTAGTATTCTGTTCTAATAGTGCCCATCCTATTGCTACTAGGGAGCAGAACATGAAGGAGACATGCTACTTCTGTTTCTCTTCCAGCATTTGATACTCAGAGTTTCATCTTTCTGTTCCCTCAGCTTTTCTTTCCCTCCCTCTCCAAGATTGAGGGGAAATGGGAGAAACTGTGAGTCTGGGGAGCCTTTTCCATCCTCATCCAATTAATTGCCCCATTATCTGGTTTGCTTTGCTTATTAGAAGCTAAGTGTCTTGAATGAATCCAGTGTGTTTTTTGAAGCATACAGTCTAGCTTAGCACATAGTGAGCACTTGTTTGCTATTCAGTAAACCAGAATTAAAACCAGGATTTTGCAAGGATTGAATCTTGCCAGTACCTAGTATTGTCAGTACAGTTGGCTGAATATTTTTTAGATAATCACTGGTAGGAAACTTTGTGGAGGATTAGTTTAATTTGCTATTAAAAGCTATACTGTAAAAACCAGCTCAACTACTTACTGTATCAATTATTTATGCACATGACTTGTAAGTTGTATTAATAAGTTCTTCATTTTGATTTTCACTAAATGTATGACTAGTAAGTTACACAAAATTGGAGTTTTTTTCAACAACCTTAACTAAAAAACTCTGCATGGATTGAAAAAAAAAAAGTATCAGTGATATAAACATAGGTGCATCCCCATAGTCACCCGTCACGGGAGTCCTTACTATAAGTATCTGGATTTGCATGAGATTACAAAGCACAAAAGCATGTAGGTATACTCATAGAGGGAAGGAAATTTTAGAGCCTTTTTCTAATTGGCTGCTTTTGTAACAATTTCATAGAGACTTTTAGATAACAAATTTGGCTGAGATTTAATTGCCATACTTTACAGAAGTTCAGAGGATCACTAACTGACCTAAAGATAATTTTTGGAGGTAATATGTATGAAGGAGAAATTTTCTGACAATGAGAACAATCAACCAGCGGAACAGCTTGCCTTCAGATGTTGTGGGAGCTTCTTCGCTTTCAAGAAGAGACTGGACTGCCATCTATCAGAAATGGTGTAGGGCAGTGGTTCTCAACCTTTTTAATGCCGCGATCCCCAACCGGTCGTAAGTTGAGGACTACTCAACCGGTCGTAAGTCGAGGACTACTCAGCTGGTGCAGCACTGTTTGCAGAAGGGGACTTTTGGCGGGCTCAGCAGGGCAGAGACAGCCTGGACAATTCGTATTGGCTTTTGAAAGCCAATAGAATTAGACTCTATTCAAGAGAGTCTATTCTATTGGCTTTCAAAAGCCAATAGAATAAAAGGGAGTAGCACAGCTAAGGAAAAGGGGGGGGGGAAATGGCGGACTGCGTTGTTTGGCGACCCCTGTGAAATGGTCGTTCAACCCCAAATGGGGTCCTGACCCACAGGTTGAGAACCACTGGTGTAGGGTCTCCTGCTTGGGCAGGGGATTGGACTTGATGAACTGCAAGGTCCCTTCCACTATTCTATTCTATTCTATTCTATTCTATTCTATTCTATTCTATTCTATTCTATTCTATTCTATTCTTAAACCAATATTTTTAAAATGAGGCATTCCCAGTGTAAAATATTAGTGATCTGAGTCTCTGAACTGAAACAGAACTGCACACTAATAAAAAAAATACTCCTGTTTGTGAACTTGCCATTGAATATATATTGCACTGTAAAATGTATGTTGAAAGAATGATTTATTGTAGAAGAAGCTCTAAAGACCTTGACTGGATTTGTTTCAACTTTAATTTCATAGAATTGCTCATTAAACAACTTTCCTTAATCCGATGTCCTCTGGACTGCAAGACCCATCATCTCCAGCTAACAAAATTGCTGTCTATACTTGATTTGGATCATCTTAATCCAGCATAATGGATGATGCATACATAACATTGACTTCTTCTTTTTTTGAGATTATAGAAGGAAGGGGCATGGAGGATTTTATTAGAAAGAGGCAGAAACAAAACTCAAGACACAATGATTATATATTATTTCAGTTGGAGGCAACTAATTGCTGAGCAATATGAGTGGGAAGTATGTTTTGTTCTCAGATTTTGTGGCTTTCCCACTGCATCTAATCACTCAATATAAAACGAGAATGCTGAACCAAATGGACCCTTAGTCTGATCCAGAATTATAGTTCTTACAATTTTATCATTACATGAAGTGTTCTACTAAAGTTTTTTAGCACATGCCTGGCCTCCTGCCATAATTCAAGGCAGATTAGATTGAAAAAGAGTTCAGATTTCTTAGAGCACTCTTTTTGAAGTTCAGTGCCATGATTGTTAATTTGTAAATGTGTTTTAGAAGACATTCCTATATCTCTGTTTAGCATTTCCTCACATATCCGAAAATGTTACAGGTATACTGCTTAACAGTGATTTTTGAGTCAGAAGTTATTTGATAATTTAATGCTGATTACTGTTCCTGTGTCACGGTTGCCTGCCCTGAGAATAATAGCCTTCATGGAGAATGTGCAAATCAGAAATATAAATGCAGAATGCAAATTATTTTTTGTAAATAAATCAGAATGGAAAAAGTATGTAATCTGAAACACTGAGCAACATATGATAGCACGAATGTGAACGATGTAACTCAAAACATTTGTAAGAAAATATATTCAGGGGGAAAAACCTCTAGAGTTCTCAAGAAGCGAGTAGGAGGGTATTGGTGAAACATCAGGAATTAAAGGCTTGGATCTCCTTAATTGCAGTTGTTTCTTGAGAATTGTCATTCTCTCTAAGACGCTACAATGACTAGAATCGGGAGGTGACCAATGTCAGAAAAATTGAATCGGGGGAGGTGATGGGACTATAGCACATTTGGCCACAAGACTCTTTGGACTTTCCAAAATTACTTCAGCAATAAAATTTAGATCAGGGGTGCATATCAGAAATACTGGAATGGACTAATGTCTAAATATCAGCCTTATATATTTCTTAGAAACTTAGAAACAATATTTTTTTCCTGTTTCTAGAAGCCACTTATGTATTTGTGATTCACTTAATTGTTTTGTTGTCTGTATTGATGATTAATTTGTTCATATCTGATAACACACATATTTTAAATTCCAGAATTAAAGAAGAGAACTACAAATATCATATATATATATATATATATATATATATATATATATATATATATATATATTTGTATGTGTGTGTATCATCATCATCATCATCACCATCATCAATTTAGCCATTGTTTATCCACTGCAAGATAAATGCCTCTTCAACATGTTTCCAACCAATAGGTCCTGAGCTTTCTTTTGCCAATTAGGCCCGCAATACTTGCTGATGCCGTTGATCCATCTTGTCTTAGGTCTTTTTCATAGATGCTTTTTATCAAGTGGGATCCATTCTATGACTGCCTTGGCCCACCTGCCATCATTTCCTCTTGCTGTGTGACCAGCCCATTTCCATTTCTGTTCTTTTATTCTCCTGATGATATCATATACCATACTTTCATTTGTTCTTTAATCGATGTGCAAGTCTTTGTATCTTGTCTTGTAAAACCAAGCATGTCTTTTCATGGCTCTTTGCGCCACTCGTAGCTTTTGTATCGATTGTCAATTAATGTTTTCTAAATTTCCTGTTAATCCCTATGGATAAAAATATAGCAAACTGTATATGGAGAAAGGCAGAGAAATTTTCAAGAAAAGAATCCCCAAGGAAACCTTTGGTTATTATAGAGGTTTCTTAACCATATTATGTCCACATCTCATTGATCTAAGTCTGATGTCATTGGCAACTTATTGGTACACCAATTGAAACTGTTCCTTGCTGTAAGTATTTCAATCTTCTTTGATGATTCTCTTTGGGAATGCTAACTTTTTATTGTTGTTTTACATGTCAGGGAGAAATACCTGGAAATTCAGTAATTAATCTGCAGTTATGGAAGGCAAGGGGCCCTATCGAATCTATGACCCTGGTGGGGGGACACAGGAAGAAGCATCTGCTGCCTTCGAACGGCTAGTGGAAGAAAATGTAAAACTTAAGGAGAAGATGCAGGGAATTAAATCTCTAGGTAACGGTGAGCATGAAATGGAAGCGCAATTGACTCCTTGTTATTATTGTTGATGACTTTTCTCTTTCACACCAATACAAAATAACATTGTTTGCACTTTATAATACAAATTGAAGAGTTGTATGATAGCTTCCAGATGTTGCATATAAACTGGGCCTGATAAATTATCTGGATTCAGACATACGTGACCTACATGTTTAATGCTTTCATTGTCATTACCACTTCTGAATGAAAAGACTCAAAAGCATCCTCATAGGCTTCTATTTGTGTTGATACTGCTGCCTTCTTACCTACCTATAGAGCAGTGGTTCTCAACCTTTTTAATGCCGCGACCCCCCAACCGGTCGTAAGTCGAGGACTACTCAACCAGTCGTAAGTCGAGGACTGCTCAACTGGTACAGCACCGTTTGCAGAATGGGACTTTTGGCGGGCTCAGCAGGGTAGAGACAGCCTGGACAATTCCTACTGGCTTTTGAAAGCCAATAGAATTAGACTCTATTCAAGAGAGTCTATTCTATTGGCTTTCAAAAGCCAATAGAATAAAAGAGAGTAGCACATCTAAGGAAAAGGGGGGGAAAAATGGCGGACTGCGTTGTTTGGTGACCCCCGTGAAATGGTCGTTCGACCCCAAATGGGGTCCCGACCCACAGGTTGAGAACCACTGCTATAGAGTCACATGTACTTTCAGAGAGCCAGTTTGATGTAGTGGTTAAGATGCTGAGCTAGAAACCAGGAGACTATGAATTCTAGTCCCACCTTAGTCCTGAAAGGGATCTGGGTGACTTTGGACCAGTCACTGTCTCAGCCCAATCCAGCTCACAGTGGGGAAAATTAGTGGGGGAAATAAGAGTACTATATTATGCATGTTTGCCACCTTGAGTTACTTACAAGGTAATAAAGGCAGGATAGAAATCAAATAATAAATAAATAAATAAATAATCTCATCTCAGTCTAAAGCATTAAAGCTGAATTATGGATATACATGAATGGGGTACTTGGGTAAAGTGAAATGATTATCTTTTCCCTACATAGAGATACTTGCTTAACTACCTTGTCCATATAGCTGTCCAAACATTTGACTGCTCTGCTGGTAAGTGAGGATGATCTCCATGTAGAAAAAGGATAACCTATCAAATAATCATTAGATTAAAATGCAATACAATAGGGCAAGCATTGTAAGCTGGGCTATAGATATGATGTATTGGTAGAAAAAAGATTTGAGCAAGGATCAGGAAGCACCAAATTATACCCTTTCTGTTTTGCCAGGAGAGTTATTAGAAGAGTCTCAGTTAGAAGCCTCCAGATTACGTCAAAAAGTGGAAGACCTCGTGAAGGACAATGAAATGCTAAGATCAACCTCCTCTTTTGAAAAATTTGAACAAATAGCAGGTACGAGAATATTAGAACAAATATGTGAATGTCCATCTGCCAAACCTACATTTGTGCATTAATGTGCGAGAGGAAGAGGGAATGAAATTAGATTTGGAAAAATGAGCGATTTTGATGGGCAGGAAAAAATAAATCTGCAATTGTGCTTTTGCCCATTCTGGCAGATGAATCGGGCATAGTAAAATACGCTTCAGTCTACATTGAGACATATGAAAAGCATTCACAAGAACAGGAGCGCTTGCATAAAATGAACTCAGCTCTTGTAACAGTTCCTCATTTTCACCTTTCTGAATACAGCGGAACTGAATTATAGCTGTATCACAGAGCAGTGGAAACTCTCCTAGGCTTTATCCAGTGGGGAAAAAAGTAATCTCAAAAAATAAGCGATGGGAAAACCCTTAGGCCAGTGTTTCCCAAACTTGACAATTTTAAGGCATGAGGACTTCAACTCCCAGAATTCCACAGCCAGCGTTGCTAGCTGTGGAATTCTGGGAGTTGAAGTCCACATGCCTTAAAATTGTCAAGTTTGGGAAACATTGCCTTAGGCTGAAGAGTTAATGCCAACAGGCGCGACCGAGTTGGGCTAAATTAATGAATAATTTACTTAGTTAAAAGATTTCTATGGCCATCCATTTGGAAAAAAAACCCAACGACTCCTCTGCGTGGTGCACAATGGCAATAAAAAGCAAAAGTAAAAAATAAAAATCCAATGACCAACAACAAATCCAATTCCAATAAATAAATAAACATAAAACGCAAAAGTCTGGTGTCCCCAGTCTTTCTCCTCCAGTGCAGCCGTCACCAACTTCTTCAGGTGAGACTTCATAATGGGGATGGGGATAGCAGCTTTTCCCTGGATTACTGGGAAGGGCAGGCAGAAGGTACCTGGGAAAGGTAGTCTGTTATACACCTAGCATATAGAGTGTTGTTGTAATCAGCACCATGAATTGCACTTGAAAACATCTTGGTACCCAATGCAGCAGTTGTTTAACAATGCTGAGATTTCCTGATAGGCACATTGGCTGCTATATTTGAGATCAGCTGGGCATCCTCATGTAGAGCAAGTTATAATAATTCAATTCTGGATAACTTAGAGCATCTGCACTCAAATGTCAATCAGTGGCAGGTTGCTCTACTTTAATTGCTTTGAAACTTTATAAAGAAACGCTGTATGTCGCATCTTCAAAATGATGCACTTTCTCTTGCATTGCTGAAGCCACAAAACTCTCGCTTCAGTTCTTAAAAAAAGAAAGAAGCTGACATTGCCTAGAACAGGTTCCGCCTGACCAAGGTAGAAGTGAATCGATCAGTTTTATATATTTTCATAAATTTGATCTTTCCTGTTTCTGCATCTGTACAAATTTCATTTTTTTTAAGTACATGAAAATCCACATTTACATATTACGTAAATATCCATTTAAAAACAAAGATAAGTGTGCATTTTCCTTAAAAGATGCATCTCTATGAATGTACTGTGATGTGTACTCTATATCAGGTTCCCAACCCCTGGGCCGCTTCTTGAAGTGATGGGTGAGTGTGCACGTGTGTGCAGCCCCACTTGCATGAGCAGTGGGCAAGCACGTGCACAAAGCTCCATTTGTGTGAACAACTGGTTTGCATGTCCGCTGCTTGTGCAAATGGAACGGTTGGGGACTGCTGCTCTATATCATTCATTGTAATTATGTACTTCATTCTATTTCCCATACTTAAATTGAAAAATGCAAATCAATCTGATAGATGAATTCTACAAGTGTTCTTCATCCTATGCCACTATGCCATGTTCTGAAGAGTTCTAGAATTGCTGAGAATTCAACTGAGTTTCTGTAGTAAACCAAATTATTTATTTGATTGATGGATTGATGGATTGATGGATGGATTGATATAGCTGTCCATCTTCCAATCAAGCCTCTGGGCAGAGAATTAATAAAAAACCCAGTAGAACAAGTATAAATAATAACCAACAACAGAAACACAATAATAACACAGTGGCACCCAAAGACAATCAAACCCAAACCAGGTAAACCCATGTCAGAAAAAAAGAAAACTCACCTAACCTATAGGACCATAACCTGGGGTATATCCAGATCTTCCAGGATTTATAAAATGCTGTCAGAGTTGGGGTCAAATTAATCTGGGGGTGGGACCCTGATGGGAGAGAATTGTTCCAGATCTTCCTGACAAACTGTAACCTGACATTACTGATTGTTCTCTTCAGTATGTGCTGTGCTGCTGAATTCATCCTGCAATGCAATATTAATTTGCATAATGAAACACTGTGACCCCATAGACCCAATAACCAGTATTTGGAGTGAACTGCCTATGAGCAGGGAATACCATTGAGTTGTCCAGTTTAATGTTTCTCTTGATTGAAATGCCTAGTCTTTCATGAGCTTGTTTAGGCTCCTCAATATCTTTTTTCCCTTGTTGTTCTTCTCTAAAAGCTTTGCATGCCGTCCTCTTTATCAATGCTGGAGCCTTGAAAATTGTCAACTACTTCTATTTGTTGTTCATCTTTAATTCTTCTTGCTTTCCAGGTGACATCATCTGCTTTCTTGATGTTCAAGGAAAATCTTGTCCGCTTGCATTTCTGTTTTGCTTTTAGAATGATCCTTCTTAAGTCTTTTTTTTCTTTTCAGTTTCTGCAACCAAGGTAATGTTGGCATATCTCAGATTACTGACATTAGTTCCAGCAAGGATTTTGACTCCAACCTAGTACTTCCAGACTTATAGTACTTGTAGTACTTCCAGACTTGTTTTATTCAGTATATAAATGGAACAAGTATGGTGATCGAATGCAATCCTGTTTGACTTTGTTCTCATGGTGGTTTCCTAGTTATTGTAAAGATTTCTTATCCAGAGAAGATACTGAGGTATTCCCATATGCTTGGAAGGATTGCCAAAGTCTTGAATGATTAACAGTATCTAAAGCTTTAAAGTAAAACGGAAATAGAGCTCCTTTTCATATTCTCTTACTGTTGCCATCATCCATTCAATATTATTATAAGGTTTCATGTTCCCCTGTTTTGTTTTTTCTGAAACCTGCTTGTCCAACTGCCACTTTTCTCTCAATACAGGATTTTGCGGAATCTGATCTCTTTTGCAGAATTTCCAGCAGAAATCGTTAAAGCTATTCTTTAATTAGAACATAGTTAATAATTATTAATTATATATAAAATGGTCCTCTATCTATATGCTTTAATTATGAGATGAAACTCCCTTTTTAAGGATTTGAATCTTTTCTAGTCTTTGGTCCATGGTGCTTTTCTCCATATTTGTTGGGAGAGATTTGCTGTGGTCATTAATGTTTCCTCACCAGCCTTTTTCAAGAGCTCTATAGGGATCCATCCTTGAGGCACTTCTGTTTGTCAGTTGTTTCATATTCCATCTCATTTCCTCTTCAAGCATCATTGGTTCCTCCTCATGTTCTTCTTTTTCTAACACAGTGTCATCTTAATTGAATGTACAGGTTTTCTGGGTATTCCTTCCAGCTTTTTCATATTATGTTCCATCATTAATTCATTTATGTTCCTTATGACTTTGATGCAAGTTTAGACTATTCTCATGTTTTTCTGATTTCTTTTAATCTTCCCATTCCATTATTTTATTCTATTTGTCTATGTTCTGAATTTGTATATACATCATTATTTCTTCTCATCTGTCACTGGAAGTTTGTATTGTTCTCTATTTTCTCTAGATCTGCTTTGGCGTTTGCCTTTTTTCTTTGGCCTTGTTCAGGGATAGGCAACCCAAAACACCCAAAGAGCCACTTGGACTCATTTCCCACAGAAAAAAAAACCACTGGGAGCCGCAAAACTTTTTTGATATCTGAAATGAAGATAACACTGCATATATCCTTTTTTACCTTTAATATGTATGTATGTATGTATGTATGTATGTATGTATGTATGTATGTGTGTATATATATATATATATATATATATATATATATATACACACACACACACACACACACACACATATATATATTTGTGTGTGTTTGTGTGTGTATGTATGTATGTATGTATATGTGTTTGTGTGTGTATATATATATATATATATATATATATATATATATAATAAAGATAAAAAGGATATATGCAGTGTTATCTTCATTTTAGATGTCAAAAGGGTCTCTCTGTGTCTCTCTTTCTCTTTCCTTTCTCTTTCCTCTCTCTCTCTCTTCTCCCTCTTTCCTCTCTTTTTTCTTTCTTCTCTTTTTTCTTTCCTCTCCCTCTCTCTTTCTCCCTCTTTCCTCTTTTTCTCTTTCCTCTCCCCCTCTCTTTCTTTCTCTTTCTTCTCTTTCTCTCTCTCTCCCTCTTTCCTCTCTCTTTCCCTTTTTCCCTTTCCTCTCCCTCTCTTTCTTTCTTTCCTCTGTGTTTCTTTCTCTCTCTCTTTCCTCTTCCTCTTTCTCTCATTCTCTCATTCTCTCTTTCTCTTTCCTTTTCTCTTTCCTCTCTCTTTCTCTTTCCTCTCTCTCTTTCCTCCCTTTCTCTTCTCTTTCCTCTTTCCTCTCTCTCTTTCCTCAATCTTTTTTCTCTTTTTTTTCTTTCCTCTCCCTCTCTTTCTCTTTCCTCTCTCTCTTTCCTCTCTCTTTCTCTTCTCTTTCTCTTTCCTCTTTCCTCTCTCTTTTTTCTCAATCTTTTTTCTCTTTTCTCTTTCCTCTCCCCCTTTCTTTCTCTTTCCTCTTTCTCTCTCTTTCCTCTCTTTCCTCTTTCCTATCTCTCTTTCCTCAATCTTTTTTCTCTTTCCTCTTTTTCTCTCTTTCCTCTCTCCCCTTTTTCTTTCTCTTTCCTCTCTTTCTCTCTATCCTCTCCCTTTCTCTTTCCCTCTTTTTCTCTTTCCTTTCCCCCTCTTTCTCTCTTTCCTCTCCCTCTTTCTCTCCCTTTCTTTCTCTTTCCTCTCTCTCTCTCTCTCTCCTTTCCTCTTTCTCTCTTTCCTCCCTCTCTCTCTCTCTTACTCTCTCCCCTCCTCTCCCTCTCCTCTCTCTTTTTCTGTCTTTC